CGTGTGCTCTTCCGATCTAAAAGAAAATTTTATTTTAAAGATCAAATGATATAAAAAAATATTTAAAAAAAATTTGTAGTTTATAAATCAACTGATATAAAAAATTTTCAAAAAAAAAATTTTTATCTTAAAAATCAAATGCCATGTTATCTGCATTGAAGCTTTTTTTCCTTAATGTTTAAAAATTCATATCTTCCAGAGAAATAAAAATATCGACTTCTTTCTGGGCTTATCTTAGAGATAAATTATGTGGCTATTTTCTAAAAAGTCGTGATTTTATTTAAAAATGGCTGGTTAAAACGTTATTTTTTTCGAAAATTTATTTTTTTTCAAAACTTGTTAAAATTTGTTTAATTAAAATGTAAATTGGTATAAATGTTATTGGAAGATGTATGGGATTTAATACGCAACGCGCGCGCATGTTATGTTTATTTAAAAATGGCCAATTCAAAATGGCCGATTAAAACGTTATTTTTTTGAAAATTTATTTTTTTCAAAAATTGTTAAAATTTGTTTAATTAAAGTGTAAATTGATATAAATGTTATTGGAAGATGTATGAGATTCAATACGCAGCGCGCGCCTGTTATGTACTAGTTTAACAAAAAGTAAAACTAAAAATGTCTTTTTAACAATTTAGCAAATTTAGCGACAAACCTCCACGCATTGATGTTGCCATCTTCGTGCCATCATCTCTACTTGCGGTCGCTTGAAGGTTTTCACGCTACCCTGCGCCGCAACTTTATCAGGTAATAACACGCAATGCAAGGTAGCCAGGAGGGACCAACCCTGCTTGATCTGCGCTTGTTGCACCGTATACATTTCCTCATTTTCCTCTTCTGTCTTATTCCAGTTTACTGCACCTCTATTGCCCGGCCTGTTTATAAAAATTCATTTTCCAAATTTTATTTCATATCTCTATATATCATGTGTTTAGATTAAAAATTTCTTTTTTATGACTAATTGAAGTGAAAATCTAACAAAAACTTAACTGTAACTGTGTACTTTAGTGTTATTGGTTGTATCATAGTTGTAATTATTTTGCGTAAAGTTAATTCACCTATGCATTTTGCGGTTTCGTTCTTGCTCAGGTACAAACGTTGCATTGTTCATCGACATTAAAGTATTTGATAAAGCGACTACTGCCAGTAGATGATTACTCGTCAAGGTTGTAGATAATTCCCAGTGTGCTCTCGCTGTGAATGCTCTAGTCAGTCTCTCTTGCCTAACTAATTCAGCGGGCAAGCGTTGCTCCAATTGAGTTGCAGGTTCACCGACTGGCTCAAGCTGCGTCTGCCAAGTTGGTAATAGAAGTGACATATAACCTGTAATAAATAAATAAATATATATATATATATATATATACATACATACATACATATATACATACATACATACATACATACATACATACATACATACATACATACATACATACATACATACATACATACATACATACATACATACGCGCGCGCGCGCAGATTTAAAATCACGCCTATGTGAGTAAGTGGTAGATGGTTTATTTTTAAATAATATATATTACGACTTAACATTAAAACATACCTCCCTTGGATAGTACTCCGAATGAGACGGGAACCATGGGCCGCAATAAACCCAACTTCCCCTCGCAAACTCTGTCCAAGTCTGGATCCATGCCCCAGGCATGCAAAAGGCTCAAAAGCAACTGTGCTACTTCCATCGTTGCGTTTGGCTCGCTGAACGCACCGTTTCGCTTCAAATTGTTCTTCGCCGCGTCAGTGTTGTTCCAATTATCGCCTGCAAAGTCGATAATAAGTATCGAATAAGAATATTTCATTGAACACATTGATTTTTTAATAATATTTGGCAAAACAGCAACAATAGCTATGATGTAACGCAACTGAAAAACAAAATTTTAACAAAAAGATAAATACATAAACATAATGATAAAAATCCATCAAATAAAATTCCTAAAAAGTATTCATTCGACATAACAGCATATATAATAATTAAAAATACATATATACGCGCGCGCGCGCGCGCGCGCACGCATAATAATAGTAGTAGTTAATATATAATTCTCTTGAACGGACACACGTTACATAATTATAACGAAATCAAAGAGAAGCAAGTATAATAATTCTGTGAAATCATATGGACTCATATACTAAATGCTGTTTAAAGGCTTTTACAAGCGTGCATATCAATAAATCTAAAGTTAATAGTAATGATTACATCTCCTTGTATAATGATGATTTCCAACTTGGTGTTTAGAAATCTAATGGAATTATTAAAAATATATGCAGAGACAAACAGTGAGGAGGAGATTGTTTAGTGCTAGTGAAGAAACTAACTACGATCTATTATAATTATTGACGACCATCTACTAACTCTACCAACTATTGACACACGTGAATCATAAAAGTGTAAGTGGAAACTTTAGAATACAAAATAAATTCGTGCGAGGCACACTGTAACCGTGTAAACTATAAAAACTTTGTTAAACGACAAAGATACATGTCTAACCTTTGCCGTCAAATGTCGACGGCTTGAGGCCGACGCTTTCTGCTTTAGCCTGCAATTTAGTATGCACATTCTCCGCACCCTCCTTCATCTTAGCCAATATACCTACAGAAAGAAATTTGTCTTTAGCTAGCATGATAATTGAAAAGATATTGCAACAAAATGTCTACCGATGATTCAACTAAACAAGAATCTATGAAGAAACATTACTGCAATCTACTGCAAAAAAAAAAAAACAGAAAAAAAGTAAGAAATCTTGGATTAGAAAGAATATCTGATGATGAATTAGGTCACTCGCACTACACTGGATTAGTGCACTGATTAAAGGTTACTAAATAGCAATGGTATATAATATAATCAATTTTAACAATAAAAGAAATACATACATGCTTTCATTAAATAACGTGGCAATCTCATTATTGAATATTCAATTGTTAAAAATAATTATCTGCATTATCTTTTACATTTAATTTCACTAATTTTTACGTATAGCAGCTTTAAGTATGCATTAATCTAGTATAGTGCAAGTGACCGAAAACTTTACTATGAGAAATTCATAATTAGAAAATTTTGAATTTTTTAGAAACTTTCAAGAAAAGATTCAATGATATATGTATGAGAAATAAAAACTTTAAGATGCTAAAAAATGAAAAAAATGAGTGAAAAAAGACTGAACTGAAACATGGACTACATGGAATAAAGAAATTTGCAGAAAAACTAGAGAAAAGAAAACTACATGATATGACGAGTGTCTGTGTAAAAGCACATTCTGCAAATAAAATATGAAATATAAATGCACGCCAAACAATCTCTTTGACAAGAATAATGATACATTAAAAATATGACAAAAGAAGATTTATGACAAAGAAGGATAACAATATCATGTGTTATCTTATATACATATAGTCAATTAGAAAATTACAGAGTAGCATATTGATAGTTTCTTGTAAAAAATTTGTATCGCATTGTAAATATTAATATATGAGTTTTAGCGATGAAAAAAATTGATATACATAAACAAAATAATGAATAAATAAAATTAAGAAATAAATACTGTGCGATAATACAATAAAACACGATACCGTGACGATCCTTCTCCTTCAATATTCGCTCAACATCACCCGCCTTATCCTTGACACGACCGAAAAAGTCTACAAAAGGATACATTCATAGAAATAGAATTCAATGCTTATTCTTAAACTGTGAATAGAACTGCGAAGAAATGTTGTCTTATTATATCTATTTAAAATAGTCATTTTTTAAAACATGATTTATTACATTATTATTGTGATAAACATATTTTATCACAATAATAATTTAGAGTAACATGAATGAAAAGAGAGAGATCTTACCAACAATTTTCTTGTGAGCATCGGGACTGGCGGACTGAGTGAGGGCTGCAACTTTTTGATATTCGGCAGCGGAAATAAGTCCTTGCGCTTCTAAAGAACCAGGAGACATGGCACCATACTCGTCGCTGAGTAATTGTACTGCAGCAGAAAAACAAATTAAATTATTATCGCAACACTTATGCCATAATATAGATTATTATATAAGTAATATACATATATAATAGTGCAAAGATTTAAAAGCACAATTACAGATAAATAAAACATCAATTTTTCCACAAGAAATAGTATTGAAATTGAAGTGAATAGTAGATAACATTACATTACATACCTATCAGCGCTTCTATGTCAAAAAATAGAATGTGACTTTCCGGATCCTTCGGATTACTTCTAAATCCTTGAATCATCAGCGGCGAACCTTTGGCTTTTATCTGACTCCCATGGTCGGGACCATGCCCACCGTGAAGCTGTTGCAATTGATGCAGCCCTCTTTGCGTCGCATGTCTAATCGCCGATAAGTTCCGATGGCGCAAACCCCTGAGAAGTAAAAATCGGACGGACTGTAACGGAGAACGTTATCGTCCGGATGATTTACTTGGCCGAAGAACACGCAAGATTCTCACCATCCGTGCTGCAAGATTTCATTTACCTAAAGAAATGCACGGCAGGATTAGCTAATCCCAGCTCACCGCCGGCGGCGGATCCACCGGCTGCTGCTATGGTGTTCTCGTCGCAAGCATAGAGCACCTCTTCCGCAATAATGCCTGGAAGAAGAAGGTGATTTTCACGCTGTTCTCACGCACGCGCGTGCACACGAGCGCGTGCGCGTGAATTTTACACACAATTTCACAAAAATATAGTAACATAATAATAATATAAGAAATACAAAGAAAGAGAGAGAGAGAGAGAGAGAGAGAGAGAGAGATATTCTGAACAAGTGTGAAGAAAAAATGTGAGGATTTGAGAATCCTAAGAATTAAAAGATAAGAAACGATTACGAGAGTAATATTCGGGAAGCTGAGTAGACGAATAAGCAAACCATGTAGTACGCGATCCAAGTGACCAGTTTCCATTTGCCAAACGTATACGGCACCATCTGAACATCCAACTATCATGAAATCATCTAGTGGCCTCCACTTGATAGTTACAACCGGGAAAAGGTGTCGCGAAGCAAGCACGACGCATTTCCTCTCCGCTAATGAAAGCAGTGTAACACTGTGGTCCGATGCAACACTGCAAACGCATTTCTGTATCCTAGGCTGCAAATAAATATTAAGTATACATGTATGTACAATAGACTTTATAAATAAATTCTTAATCGATTTTTAACAACGATATAGCTCTCGACAAGCAACTCGACTTGAGCATGACTTTTGAAAATAATTAAATTAAGTCTTAACTGTAAATTTTTATGATAAAAACAAGCAAATAGTTGTACACTGCAATTATCAGGCGGCACCATCAGTTGCGTGATTTCACCAGCATGAACGCAAAACCGATGGATCAATGTGCCGGCGTATAAATCCCAGAGGCAGACAGCAAAGTCTACGGAACCAGAAACGAGATGAGTACGATCGTAACGAGGTGCCGCGCCGTGAGGATAAAGTAGACAATTTACTCGTCCTGAATGACCCAGCAGAACTTGATGTGGTGGCCAATCTAAATATATAAAGAATTGAGAATTTATTAAATCTCTTAATTTAAAAAATTTTGATATTAATCAAAATGTTGAGAGTTATAGCGCGTATGGAGTTGTTACATTTTAAGTAATTTATTTGTTAATTTAGTATTATTAGTTTTACATCGTGTTACGCGCGAGTGAGTTGTTATTGATTTATTAAACAAGCGTATTAATTATTATACATAATAAGTATAACTACTTATTATTCAAAAGATTCGTATCATTATCCCTATATACTTATATTTGAAATATATGTATATGTAGATTTCACATCAAAGAAATAATAAAAATACAATACCATCGTATTGCTGATGATTGCCGTGGAGTAGCTGAAGCATTACGGTTTGGGTTGCCGGCACAATGATGATGCTACCATCCTCACGACCAACAACAAGCCGACTCTGCTGTGGCAGGTATATGCAAGCGGTGAGCTTAATACCATGGCCATCACCAGTGTCCAATTGATCGAGTATCCCTACAGGAGGAGGTTTCATTGCATCCCAGGCAGCGGTGAGACTTGTCTTCACAGTCGGTGACAATGCCGGTGGCGACGATCCGTCATTTTGGCAGATCTGGGCAAGCTGCTGCGTTGTCACCTCTGGCACTGTCCACAGAATAACGACACCCTCGCTGTCTCCGCGTAACAGATATTTTAGGGTCTTATTCTGACGCTGCACAGTAACCAGTCGCATAGCCGGTGGACAGGAAAGAGGCTGAAGCATACGGCAAATCCGAAAATCCGCGATTATGTTAGAGCATATAAAGCGAGAAACGCGGTTCAAGTCAGAAACTTTAAGTATAAGACATCCGATTCCATGAACCATCTTTAGAATCAATTGAAGCTCCCAAGACAAAAGAAGCTTTAAGAAGAAAAATCTAGACTCGGAAGAATTCGAGAAATTAGAAACATGGAATAATTAAAAGATGCGTCTAATAAAATTATCACGGATACATAAATACTAATTATTATTATTATTATTATTATTATTATTATTATACTATAGACTATAGATTAAAAAAAAAACGTTCCTTACCTTATCTCCAGGTTGCGTTAATGTACAGTACAGATATGGCTGATCGTACTCTGCACCGGCGGTATGAAAATTTTTGTTATCCGCAACGCTACTGTACACCATGAAAAAAAAAATCGTCATTATTTTCACCTTTATAAAATAAAAGTTTAAACAGTGTATTCATGGACATCGTCTTTCAGTTTTTCAATCATTGTCTTTTCAGTTTTTTAGAGAATGTTGCAAAATGCCACACAGACATTTAAATCTTTTACATGTTAGATACTTATTTCGAAAACATGTCCAAGAATAGTACTTTTTTCACATTGCAGTAACAATTTTTTCACATTGCATAAGCTTCATATTGCATGGAATAATTTCAAATATGCGTGTTTATTTGCTGCCTATGTTTACTAGCAAGCAAACGCTGCAAGTAAACGTTTTTCGAAGCAATAACATTTTCAGATTAAAATTTAAACATGTACAAAGGTAGATACACAAAGATAAAAATGTTTATAAAAAATCAAGGCTTGGATACATTTCTGATATCAATACTTAAAGAATTTAAATCAATACTTAAATAATTTAAAAAAATAATCAAAATTATTTTTATACTAGAAAGAAAAGAATGACAGACTTGAAAATACAATATATATAGATACACGTCTTTCTTTCCATTTATTTTCAAATTAAAAGATTGCACTGACCTTTTAGATATTTAAATATTTTGCTCTTGATAGAATTATTATTATTATTTTCAAATGAATTACCTTTGTGTGTCACTATTACATTAATAATAATCGCACAGTTATTAATAACAGTGCAAAGACTGCAAAGCAACTTAAAGCAAACAGAATATGAGAAAATAAGTATAATGAAATATGACTATATATATATATATATATGTACGTATATATGTGTGTGTGCGCGCGCGCGCACACACACACACACAATTCTTCCTCGCATTTACCTTGTTTCACGTATCTTTACAATTTCACCTCGTCTCTATATTATCTGTTTAAACTGCGATTACAGGTTGTCGATGATTATGATGGATCGATATGATTATACGCGTATCTAGTGTATTATACAACAGAACGTATGCGAACGTATGTAAACGTCAATGAGAATTCTTGACATTCATTGTAAACATGAGAAAATAAGAAAAGATAAAAGTACCATCGTGTGTTTAAATATTATTGAGTTCATTCGCTCATTGATAATGACGCGTAATTCGCAATGTAATAAAATTTGCTAGAACAAAATGTGAAATATGATGATTTTGCTGATATTGCAATTTTATCAGGGACATCAATATGAGCAATTTACGATTCTATTCTGCTGAGTTTAGCACGCCACCTTGTACAAAAGAAGGATGAGTAAAAATGAATCACAATGTGTTTATGACAACACAAAAAAAAGAAGAATGACAACAAAAACAACATAAAGAGACGAAAAGGAAAATAAAGATTAAAAGAGAGAATGAAGAGTATGGAGAACACATGTACAAATGATAATGCGGGTTACCTGCTGAGAGCCTTGCCCTTCAGCTTGCTAGAAGAACACCAGATCCCGCGTAGAATGCAGTAGATGTGAATAATATGAAAAAGACATCACCGTAAAATGGATCATTGTGCTAATTGTTAATTCATGTGCATGGACGAAAGTTCTGTGTGAAAGTTATTATGTGTTCTATGGAATTGTACACTATATACTACATACTCAGCCAAACGTTGAACGAATCTGAAAAATCTCACAAAGCTCCTCAAAAAAGGGACTTGATAATTATTTTCATATAAAAGAATAAAATATTACATGAAAGAATTTTTTTTAATTAATAATAATAATTGACTCTTAAAACTTAATCATTGTTCTATTAACACTTATATTAATCATTCCAATATTATATTCTAATATAACTCTTCCAATGTCAACTTGTGTTAGTAATTATATTCGACATACAT